ATCCCGCCACTGTGAGTTCTAGCACCCATGATACACTACCTGTTGTTAAGTACCTCATAAAACTAGCAAGCATTAAGACAATCGGTTAACATCTTGCTTGGACTACTGCGCGTACTTAACCAGATCACATACCGTGAACAATTTGCCAATAAACTGAGCAATATCTGGGGAATATGACCTACTTACAATGCGTTATCCCTTGTACATCTCTGTCGAACTGTGTTTTATGATAGACTTAGCATAGGACGAAGCAGGTTCATTATAATATCTCCATAATGACTGATCTTTTTCTACCATGTTGCAATTTCACTTAACACTTTAAAAAAAATTAGGCCTAACTAAAACTTTATACAATCAGGCCTAACTAAAACTTTAAATAATCAGGCCTAATTAAAACTTTTAAAAAAATCAGGCCTAATTAACACATTAATAATCAGGCCTTATTAACACTTTAAATAATAAGACGTAATAAAACTTTAAAAACAGGCCTAATTAACACTTTAAATAATCAGGCCTAATTAAAACTTTTAAATAATCAGGCCTAATTAAAACCTTAAATAATCAGGCCCTCATTAAAACTTTTAAAAAATCAGGCCTAATTAAAACTTTACATAATCAGGCCTAATTAAAACCTTAAATAATCAGGCCTAATTAAAGAAAAAATAATGTTCCCATATCAATCATGATCCAACAGTTTTTATGCAGGTTAATTACACAAATATTCAGTGCTAATCTGTAAAGGTGTTGGCAGACTTTCTAGTTTGGCAAACTGGTAACTAACGGAAAGGTCAGACAAGTTTTTTCTCCCTCGAACGGTTGGCCAGGCAACTAGTTGGTGTTAGTCTTTTAATCTTCTTTGGTAAGACAAAGTAGGTAATCTTACATTGTGTTTCCAAACTTAGCCATGTGCTTAGCGTAACACTAATCCAGGACTCCCTCAGTGTTTGAGCAGCTTATATGCAGGAGCTAATTCACTTAGTACTCTTTCTAAGTACCTGTCTGTCAAGCATGCCCACTGTGTAACAAGGTACATCAGTGTGTTATTCTCATGTGTATACTCTTACAGTCTTACAGTGCGATTGTCTTAGTTACCATTTCATAGTGAGTGAGTTGAGTTTAAGCCACTTTGAACAGTATTCCGGTATATCACAGTGAATCAGCTTAAAGTTGGAGGAAAGCCCAAAGTGATGGAGGTGTCAGACATTTACCACTTTGGTGAGTGAGTGAGTGAGTGAGTTTGGTTTTACGCCGCTTTTAGCAATATTCCAGCAATATCACGGCGGGGGACACCAGAAATGGGCTTCACACATTGTACCCATGTCGGGAATCGAACCCGGGTCTTCGGCGTGACGAGCGAACGCTTTAACCACTAGGGTACCCGACCGCCCACCACTTTGGTGAAACCCACAAGCACGGGTATGGTGCCCACAAACATTTGAAACATAATTTTGGTGAACCTGGTACCATTTCACACTACGTAACAGTACTGGGTGAATCCTAGCAGTTATTCCAGCTATGTTACAGAGGCCTGTCAATAACCCAAGCTGGGAAAACTGGTGGTTGATAGCATGAGCAAAGTACTGTAGGCAGCATGGGTTGTATACTCCCTAAGGTGTTGAGAATGGAATGTAAATGGATTCACTGGTTGGGGAACAAATAAAACTGCATTTGAGAAGATACTAGTAACTGGGTCCTTACTACTACTACTACTGATAGAAATCCTGATATGAACAAAAAGTACAAGAAAGACACTAGTCTACTCACTACAAATCAGGAAGACAAGAACGTTTGGATGGAAACTATGAGACAGAATCTAAAGACAGTGTCACCTGTCCAAACACAAACTGACACAACCACCAAACTAAATACACAATAGGGTCATAAATGCCTCCTTCAATGTCCAACTTGCTACACAAGTCATCATTTCACATGAAAATCACTGGGTAATGTTTGATTATTGAAAACTGATATAAGTTAGTCACGCAAGATAATAATTACCCGTTTGAGACAGACAATGACAATCTACAGGATGAATCATTTCTCACTCAAACAACAGTAATCTAGCCTACCTAGTCAGTGAAGAATGGCCTAATCCCTGAACCTATCCCTCATGTACCCCTCCCTGCTCCCCTTCCCACAAACCAGAAGGTCACAACCACACCGGAAATTGTTAGCCACTGATTATTTCTGCTTTCATATCATTACAATCCAGGCAGGCATTCTTTCCCCTAGGATTCCCTGCCACCATGTAAAACAGGCAACATAGAACACAAGCTTTTATATTCCATTCATGGGATATACAAGTCATATCATAGCACAACGCCTCAAACAGTCATATATGCAGCAAGCAAGCACATGCTCTCTAACTAGTTCCTCTTCTAATGCTATTTACACCAATACTCCTATGGTATATTACTGAAAATCTGCTATTTACACAAATACTCCTATGGTATATTAGTGAAAACCTGTTTTTACACAAATACTCCTATGGTATATTAGTGAAGACCTGTTTTTACACAAATACTCCTCTGGTATATTACTGAAAATCTGCTATTTACACAAATACTCCTATGGTATATTAGTGAAAACCTGTTTTTACACAAATACTCCTATGGTATATTAGTGAAAACCTGCTATTTTTCACAAATACTCCTATGGTATATTAGTGAAGACCTGCTTTTTACACAAATACTCCTATGGTATATTAGTGAAAAACTGCTATTTACACAAATACTCCTATGGTATATTAGTGAAAACCTGCTATTTACACAAATACTCCTATGGTATATTAGTGAAGACCTGTTTTTACACAAATACATCTATGGTATATTAGTGAAAACCTGTTTTTACACAAATACTCCTATGGTATATCAGTGAAAACCTGCAAACTGGTATGTTATGGTTACTGTCTGCTGGTCTGAAAATAGTGAAAACTCTAAAAGGACACATAGTTTCTCCGGAAATAATGTCACCAAGATAACTGACATGAATTGTAAATTTACTGGATTTATATCAAGTAATTTATACCCTGAAATGAATATACCAGTGTCATAACCTCTCAAGTGCAGAATGTTGCTGATCACTCAATGACAAAGTCCAATATTAGCCTGCTCCTCCCTATATCACTTTCCCATCACCAGACGAACCGATCACCTTAATCAGTTGCATGTGTAACCTTTGACCAAGTGATCCACCCACATGTTCATTAATGAAGTAACTAGGTCAAGATGTTCACCCTAGGATGATCTGATGGCCTTTTAACCCCTTACAGACCCTAGTATGTGGGTTACCTCACCAGCTGGACCTGTCTACAGGTGGAAGGGTTAAGAAGCCCCGGGAGCAGTGTGTGATGTAAGCCAGGTTAGGAAGGACAACTTATAAATTATGGACTTAGTACATTTTTTCAATTAACTGCAGCATGGACAAGACAATTCTGTGTTTGAAATTATTATTATCCTCAAAATTCTATTAAAATTGAGGTCATAACAAGGAACCCATCACCTTCATTAATTTTCAACTGAACCAATCTCAAGAATAAAACCAGGCCTACTGCATGACAAGCTAACACACTTACAACTAGATCAGGTCATCGCAAGCAACAATCTCATTGGATTTAATCAAATGAAATAGACAGACATACTTCCTTATCACACTATCCACTTTCTTATATCTCATCAAGTTTGACTTATCAATAATTCTCAACAAGGAAAAAAAAACCCCGATGGCACATGCTTTGAAAAGTAAAACAGTGACGTTTGAAACAGTATGAATTCTGACTGTCAAGTTGTTGAGGGTTTGAGTGCTATATTGTTAACTTTAAGCACGTCACGTCTGTCATCTGTTGACTGTTCGTCACATACGTATCTCAGACACATCCTGCTTTCTAGCATTCATTCCAATAAATAAGTGTCGTGCTGATTAACCTGTGTAATAGGGAGTAACAGCATGAGACCATGACTCAACATATATGGGCAACTAACAGTACTGACACTACATTACAAACTAATTATACCGTTATGACTTCAAAGTGAAACAGATATACCACCACAAGATGAGCCAAACAGTATCATTGAGTGTGTATTAGCAGATTACAGACATAATCAAGTTAGAACATGACTCCGTCACCAGCCACCAACACACAGGCTATGAGTCCACCACAATGTCATACAGAAACTCATTTGCTCACAATATATAAATAAACCCATTAGAATGCCATAAGCCGTGTAAACTAAAACCATTTCAAAATGCTTGTTACTTTGTCTTTAAAAACATTTCTACTTAAACACATGCTATTATTTCTACGCAAGTGGTTTTTAAAAGTAGTCCAAGACACCTGACCTATGAAAGTACAGATTGTGTGTTGGAAGCATTACAAGTTGAATGGGGGTCTTGTTTAGAGGGGTATGAGATATTTTGTACAAGGGTTATGGAAGTGTGGTAAGTGCACTGTAGACACCTAGAGTGAGGCACAAGGCTAGGGTTACTTGAACAGGAACCAATGAATGATCTAGCACTCCCTACCCAGTCTCTTTACTCGGGGAGTGAATCCCCGCGATGACGAGGCTCATGTGGTGTAGATGATGTTAATAGTACGACAGAGCCTGGAAGGGGGATAGAGTACAGTGGGAACCCAGTTTCCAGTTCAGAGGGTGCCATACCGACCTGACAAAGCTTACATTAATTACTTAACAAGACCTAGACATTCAATTCATGGTTTAGTGAGTGAGTGAGTTGGATTTAACATTGCTTTTAACAGAATGACCATGGTTTCATGAATCACTAATATCCTTTTAGAGCGCATGTAATGGAAAATAAACCAATAGAGTTTGTTTCAACATGGGCTTCACACAACGTACGCATGTGCGGAACCAAACCCAAGCCTTCGGTGTGATAACATTTTAACAATAAGGCTACCCCACCACCCTTCCCACAACTGAGGTGCCAGTATAGGAACTGAACACGCAGACCCTGGATGGTTTGATGGTAAAAGTTCTACTTACACTTTTTAAGTTCTCTTGGTGGCACCATGGCAGTTTTGGGAAGTGAGTTGTTGGAATGTAAGTACGGTGATGATAGGTGATGATGACTGTACAGGGGCATCTGGTAGCAGGACGACGACCAGTAGTAGCCAGGCATGTGTTGTGGCGGTGGGTACCACGTGGTGCCGTTACTGCTGCTACTGTGGCTATTTGCATAGTTTGCATCTTGAGAAGACTGATTGTGATGATAATAGACCGAGAGGGACACATCAGTGCCTGTCAAGTCAATGTACACACTGTCCGGGAAGGAGTGGTCAGGCTTGTGTCTTCGTTGTGATGAAATGTCTATGTCCCAAAGTTGACGATGTGCTTTTTGATATTGAGATGTGGTCACATGTTCCGCTTCAATTTCTATTTCTTCGTCAGTACCTAAGTCACAGTCGATTTCAGTGAGTGTTTTGTCCGAGTCTACTGCAGCTGTGGCCCCTGCTGCCTCCACATCCACGGTCACAACCTCGGCCTCCGCGCCCCCCTCACGTGGACCTCTTTCTGGAACACTACTGGATTTCTTCTCAGGCAAAATGCTGTAATCTTGAATAGTGTAATACTGATAACTGTACCAGGCTGACAGACACTCCGGACATTCGGACGGAGGGCAGTCGTATCGAATCAAGGGAAATCCGGTGGTGTAGTTGGCTAGTTTCTCTAACTCCTCAGGAGTGAACTCAAAGGGAACAGTGTCATCTACCTGAATACTATCTGAGTCCGACACAGAATAGTTCTCAGAACTTGAAGCCACTGAGGATTTATCACTCTCTGTGTCTTCAAGACTCTCCAAGTGTTTCTCAGTGTTATACAAGTCATTACATATAAGTTCCACATTCTCACATTCAACAATACTGCGACGTTTAGCACCATCCATCTCATTTGAGCGAGTTGCATTGTTGAGCATATCAGAAAGTTTTGAATTAAGCAAAGGATTGTCTTTGGCGAAATTGCATTCTAAATTCCTAGAGTCTTTGTGATGAGCTTTTTCAATGACAGAAATGAGAGCATTTAGATTTTTGTTATCCTTCTTCTTTGATTTGTTGTGGTGATGATGTTTCTTGTAGTTGTGAGGTCTATCTCTATGCAATTCCCTCAATGAGTATTTAGGTACACAGGTAACAATATCATCCTGGTCGTGGGGCAGGTCGCTGTCCCCTGATCTTACCGAGGCCTCAGAGTCCTCCTCCAGACTCCTCTGCCTCTGCTGTAGAGCTGCCTTGAGTGTGTCTTTCAGGTGGATGACGATAGGGGTGTTAGTCTTCACCTGTTTACGTTTCCCCTTCTGGGGGTGACGACGCTGACCCTTAGTGCGCTCTTTCTGACAATTGATACATGATGAACTTAAACCTTCAAGTCTTTTAGCAAATTTTTCTTCACTCACCACTTCAAGGTTGGCACTGGCACTAACAGTTTCCCTCTTGATGGGAGACTTCCCTTCCGTGAGTTTCCCCATGGCGGCAGGTGTTCCAGTCCAGGGATGTTCACAAATCCTTAAGCAGTTGACTGATGTCAACTGTAACCCAAGTGTTGATAGTAGACACAGTGTATAAAGAGAGGCTAACACAGTGGCATGCAACTCCTCCTTCTGCTTGCAGGCTGAGAGTCGAGTGTCCTCCGCTTGATGTAGGCTGTATAGGCTGTGCCAGCATACTCTTCCTGACCTCAATGCTTCATTACCTTTCCAGGTAACCAAATGAGATGTGGTCAAACGTACACTAAAGGGAGAGGTGATGTAATGATGAAGCTGTCATAGCACATGCATCATGTTAGCTGAGGCTGATCACAGTCACAGAAAGGTCAGCTAGTGTTACCGAGTCCTGGATAAGCCACTCTCCACTGATCTAAGTCTTCACTTACACTGGTCCACTGTCACTATCTCCACACAACACAGCTGAGTCTTACCTCTGACAGGTAGTGAACACAGTCACTCGAGCGTCCCAAGCTTGAAGTGCAGGGGTTAGTTGTCTGTGAAGGCAGATCCCAGCCCAACTAGTGATACATGTATCACCGAGTAGATACTGTCAACTGGCCGGTGAAGGTGAGGTAGGTCCTTATACCACAGGTCAATGTTAATTTCACAAAGAGTTGTCCACTACCCAGTGTCCAGTTCATGCAAATTGCAGAAATGTATGTAGGCTAGCTGTGAGCTGCATGCCTTTCTGGTGTTGCTCTCTCAGCCATGTCAGGGCTTGTATGTAACAATAGACACCACACACAAAGGACAGTCAACACAAAGGAAGCATGATCTACCAATGAAAACACCACATCCAGAATCAATCAAGCCTTCTCTCATTAGATTAGTGAAAGCTGGTTGATGACATTAGCTACCTTTGTTTGTGGTCCAACTTTGCCATTCTCCTCAGAGCTCTGAATTCAGTTGATCAGCTCACTGTAGTGAGAAGGCTGCTACATGTGTTGTGACTGGATTGCTACAGCTACTATTGTAGCGTATACAGACTACTCACTGGCTGCACATGTGGCCTCAACCACGTGTTCGTCTCTCAGTGGTAGGTTATACTCAGTCACTCTTCACTACACAGGCCGAAACGAGTCGACTCTCACACACGCCGTATACCTGGCCGGCAACTTCAAGTGCAGATAGTATACCTCTCAAGAGGTAGATTATTTCCCAAGGTTGACACTTGATTGTGAGAGCTGTGTGTGTCACAGGACATACTGTTTTAGACGTGGATCGCTCTCTGTGTGAGCAGTGAGAGTTGGAGACAGGTCTAATGTGATTGTCCCTCACTGGCTCTGTCCTGGCTGTGATTGTTGTCTGCCTCGGGGCAGGTAGACGAATACTCAAAAACACACCATGCCAGTTCTGGCTGTTGTTGATAAAAATTGAGCTGGCCTTTGTTTGTCGTCCAATCAAGCTCACACACACAAACAAGAATCGTGAGAACAAAGAGCGGTCACTAGTTGCGTCCGTGATACAAATAAACACTGACCAAGCGCTCGTTGAATTGGGTTGAATTGTCACAGTAGCGACACCGCAGAACGCGCTTACCTATTGATTAGAGGAGGAACAGACCATCTAGAGCATGTCCTCTTTCCTAGGGGAACAAACACAGTTTTCCTCCGACTGACTGACAGTGTTGTACACTCCCTGAATTTACTTCCTCCTCACACCGTGACGTGGGTTGTAGTAGTGTGTCCTAATGGCCCTCCCAACTCAGCCCTGCCCTCCCGATCCCCATTCTGTCCTCCGCATTACTCACAGGAAACTCCTCACATATACAGCTAGCAATTCACCTGGCCCTCGCCATTACCTAGAGGCAGCCAGTGCAGCAGCAAGTCAGTCACTCAGTCATAGCGAGGGAGGGAGGGTGGGTCGTAGCTGGCAGCATATAGGCAGGCGGGCAGCAGCGGGCGGGCAGGCAGGCGATGATAGAGGCAAGACAGACTCGCTATGTTAATCACCTACAGTCATGTGATCTTACCAAAGGAATAAGGGAGACAACATTCTCTGCTGTGCATAAATTATCATTATTAGCAACTTGCTCAGCTATCGCATCTTCAACCATTAATACCGTATTCCTCGACGACTATCGACAGTAAGTGAGATGTGTGTGTGTCAACAATGGTCTACTAGCTTGTGCTAGTCAGCATGGAGCAGATGGGGCTATTCACAAAGCATTAAATGGAGGATGCTGGCTACACCTGCCCTGCCCTCGTTCTTCAAACATCAACACACGAAAGTCATTTCACAAATTTCTTGAAAAATTATATCCTGTTAACTATATATGTTGTGTCAATATGTCAAGATGTCAATGGTCATTTCAACTTTCACACACACAACAAAAGCTTTCCCTTCCATATTAAAAAATATTCTTCCTCCTGAATATGCCTTTCCTCAGTTGCCGAGAGATTTAACAGGGACATTGTGTGGGGAAATGTGTCCAGGAAAGTATTTTCAGAGAACCCAAATATATTCTCCAAAATATAAAGCTTCTTCTACTTCCGTCTGCTATCAGTGAAACAAACATGCATGGCACTATCAACACTAAATGAGGTATATTTAACCTCAGCTCTGAACTGAGCAAACATTCAGTATTAGTTCGTAATGAAGGTGACAGAACACCAACAACAATATGAAAACATGAAAGTTAAACACTGTGTTGTGTTGCCTGGAGGATAACCATCTCCCAGCCAATCACTGATAGTAAGTGTCACACAAAGTAGCTGTTCACAACACAGGGGTATATTTGTAATACACATAAGTGATGATATCTGCCATTAACCTAAAAACAGCCAGATGGCCAAGTGTTAATAACAAGCACATTTTCCTAGGAGAGGTAACAGTGATCACTAAATGTTAGTGTTGCATCTACAAATTCGTATCTCACGGATTCGGAGTGAATGCTCAATTACAAACATCATTATCACAAGTTAGATGTAGTGCACATAGATTAACGATTGGATGAGTGAGGCACAATAACATATCAAGAAATCATAGATTGTTTGACGCAACATGACTAAAATCCAGTGGAGGTTGAATATGAATTTTATACCAAATATAACTTAAGAAAAACATACCTAAAACTGTACTATTTTGTTCATCCAAACATAGATAAATTTGTTTCTTTGGTGAAATCAGTCAATACAAATACTGTACATAACTTATCAATGTACATTTATCATGTCATGTCAATTAGAAAGTAATCTGTATGTACAACCTCGCCATATGTATAAACTGAAACACTGGTAATATGCACTTAGGGCCTTTCAGTACTGAGAGTAAAAGACTGTCATTTATTATTTACACCAACTATTCAAGCCATACTACATAGGCATGTGAATGTCAAGAGTCAGGTAGTGGTTGACAGCAAGTGAAATCAATACATTACTACCCAGTCATCATTGGTCAACTTTGTTGTGGGAACTAACATGAATGATCTAACATAACCTTAACTTAACAGTGATGAACAAATAAACAAGGAAACAATGTTTCCCATTTCCTGTGAGATTTCAAGTGTTTCAAAATACAGGAATGACAGATTGCTCTCTCTGTATAAGAATCTCATATTTCTTAAAAAAGCCAAGTACCGTAAGTGTATAAAAGTGAATATATCTCTCAGCAGTAATATTCCAGGAATGATAGTCATATGTAGCAAAGGTTATGCTATTTAATGTCAACTTAATATCAGCGTTAGAAATTGTCACTTCAGTGCTATAGTCCTTGCAAAATTGCCCAATAGTAATGGCATCATAAGGACTTATAAGCAGAAATTTTCCCTTTTTAAGGGTTTTGCTATATGTTATCATTATAAGGACGAGTGGACTAAAACTGTTAGTTTCTATCACTGTACATATGAAACAATCAACTCACTTTATATCAAGTCCACCAGTACAAAAATACATATTTTTATTCAATTGCAAATTGCACAATATCTCATCGAGGAAAAGATCCTGAAAACAAAAGAAGGATAAAAAAATACAAAATACAAAGCACTTCCACGCGTTGGACACGTTTCCTTTGAGATAAGCAAGTCACTATCTGAACAGTGATTAAAACACATCTGTGAAGTCATTCTATTGTTTGAACGCTCCATTATTTTTCAGGAATGGAGAGTTGCCTGTCAACTGTACATTATCTTGAAGCAGCATTTGAATTTTTCAAATATTTTCAACTTCAGAATATTTTGTCCAAGTGTATTAGTCGGGATGAGTTTTAAGTAGGGGAATATATAGGGGCCTCTGCTCCATTATTTTTAAGGAATGGAGAGTTACTCAGACATTCCCCTCTACGTAATGTATGCCTGATCAGTGAGCACATAGTAAGTTGGTCACTACCAGGAATTTGGAACACTTTGAGATTTCAACATAACTGGATCAGATAGCAAAAGTAGACTATATTTATAAGTATCATGAATGGAAATAATCACTCTTCCTACTTCCATAATGTTGGGGGGACCATTGCGCGTTATTTAAATGTTGCAAGCAGCTTGAGCCAGGCAGTAGCAGTTACCCTATGTATTTGGTCATGGTCTATAGTCACTTCCTGGAACATATTTGAACATCCCTCTGCCTGAATACAAACACTTGACAAAGGTACAGGAAAAGTGAGCATAACAGCTCAAAACAAACACCTTATGTCCCTTGTCCTCAGACAGATCAAGATTATTCTCGTCTTAAGTTGGATTCATCAAAAGAAGAGATGACGAAAAGAAAAATATTTTCTATTTTCAAAAATATGACAATTTATGGTATGAAGGATACATGTAACAGACCAGGACACACAATCCCATTACTACATCATGAATAATGAGAAGCATGAATTGCTCAATCACAATGTGACGACAGAATTTATCCTGGTGTCACTGAATCAGTGTACGAAATAAATCCCTGAGTCCCTGTCATATCCCTAGCATTAGAAGTTAAAGATCAAGGCGGCACGAGGTTCAGATACCACAGGAGGGGACATGAACGACACCAGGACCACCCTAAGCTGGAGCGCTGTAGAATAAACCTGTTACTTTTTACTAATGACAAAAGACATATTGATGACATAAACACAAAGACTGTCACATAGAAAAGCATAACAATTTAGAAAGTCATATAACTGAACTGGACGTGATGAAATCTCTACATGACATATTTACATTTGACATTACAACTGTCATGCCGACATTTGAAAGCCAGTGGCAATTTCAGCATTTTATAAAGTATGTTGATGGCAAGGACAATGGGCCTCTTTGTCCTCTATCATATAGAGCTCACATATCACGCAGAGGAGTACATAGCTATATCCTGCTTGTTTCTCGAACACATCAAGTATGTTACAGACGTACTGCACTATTTGTGCATGCTACTGTTGACCATGCTTCCTGTTCCTCGAGTTGACAAGAGCCCCGTATACAAGATACACTAAGTGGAGATGTTATTTGTTTGTCATATGGGCCAAAACACCCCCCTTCTGTCTGGGGACTATTGACTAAATTGCCAAAATGAAAATCTCCCTGTTCCTTGTTCATGTTTCCATGAAGGATAACAGACCAATTACAATGAAGCCACTACAAAATACACATATATTTACATTTTGAAACCTAGTCTTTGTGTGTCCAGTAAGAAGCAATATAACAGAAACATTATGTATACGATATGTATGCCATGACGGAGAGAGAGAGAGAGAGAGAGAGAGAGAGAGAGAGAAAATAAGTGAGTGAGTGAGTGAGTGAGTGAGTGAGTGAGTGAATAAATGAATATGGCTTTATGCCACTTTTAGCAATGTCACAACAGGAAATACCTGAAATAAGCTTTAGGCACAGTACCCAAGGTGGGGAAACAAACCCTCAGCTGAGGCCTTCAATGCCACAATCAAACACTTTATCCACTAGACCACCCAACTGCCCCAGTAATGGGCCATCAATAGCATATGACACCAATACACCTTATCTATCAATCTTATACTCGTTACAAATGTGACTTTTTATTTATATTTTTCAGCTGGTATATTCTCAGTGATCCTAAGATAAGATAATAAGCAAACTGGATACTCCTGATGGTTTCAAAGAACATCTTGTCACCATCTTTGCCAGTCCACTAACCACATACTCCTGGACAAGAGTCACCACTGACTCATAAACACATACGTTACTGTATAACTGTCATGCAATCGGCCACGCAATTGTTTTATTGGTTCACCGTCCACCTCTCCCTGACCCTGGTCCAGCTTGGGGCTAGTCAGCCTGTACCTGTCGTTCAGGCCGCATGTACCAAGTCATGCTGGTAATGAGCAGGTTTACTGACAGTTCTTGTTTAGATATTGAATAAGCCTGAAAGTTCTGTGTAAATAGATTTTTCGTTGTCCTGTGACCTTGGCGATGTAAGATGTGCTTATTGATGCTGTTGCTACTGTGTTAGTACTGACGCCCAGCACTGAGATGAGTTGTAGCTGCAGTCTTCAAGGGTCACACCTTGTACACTTAAGCTCTTCTTTAAGACTCACAACATTACTTTAGTGCTCCTTCCTTAATCCTTATCATTACTACAAATAGAGAAGATAGTTTCCTTTTTTAGAACCGAAATACAATTGTCCAAGACATACCCGGGTACCTGACAGAAAGGCTTCCCAGGAAATGTTTGTCAACAGTTGGCAATTGTTAAAAACCCGATGAGACACATTTGGCTGAACATAAATCTGATAATTACAGTTACAAATGCTAACATGAAATAACTTAATAACAGGGAGCTGGTAGCAAGTTTGCAAATGTACAGTAAACTACAGTTATAACGAACACGCTTATAACGAACTGACGGACATAACAAACTTACTTTTTTGGTCCCGACTATTTACTGTAGTTCTGCTGTATATATGTTTATAACGA